ACAAATACCAAACAAAGTATTTTTTCACTAATTTTAAGCCACAACATTTTTATTTCTTTTCTCTTTAATTTGTCATACTTATCTTTACTTTTGGATTTTGTAGCTTAAATTTATTGTCTTGCATCAATGTACATAAAATTTTTCTTGCATTATTACTTGTAATGGTAGATATAACATACTTATAAATCCTATATGGCTTAAGTATTATATCCAAATCAATTCAGCATATTTTACATAATATAAAAAAGTCTTGTTTTTTCCCTCAAAGAAAAAAGCATTCTTGGTAAATATCTACCAAAAATACATTTAATTTTTCTCATACCTAATGGCATATATAACCTCAAGTGAGTACTGGAAATTAAGGATCTAGATGCATATAATTGTAGTGAAGCTTGAAAATAGTTTTTAAATAATTTTAAAACTTTTAAATAAATAAAATTTTTCTATCTTGACATTTTTAAAAATTATTTATTATTTTATTCCTGTCATAATTTTTAATTTGTTGCTATTTTTATTTAAAAATTTTAAAATTATATTTAGACTAATAATCAAAAACAGTGATTATCAATCAGGGCTGTGGAGTCAGAGTCAGAAGCATATTTGTTGTTAGAGAAGACAGAGTCAGTTAAAATTGACTGGCTCTGATTCCTATTTTTTTGTTATTATGTACTGAACTTTATATTAAGCTCCTAATAGAAGCATTAGTATCCTATCTTGCATTATAGAAGTCTCTTGTAATGCAAGATCTTATTTTATAATGATTCTCCTAAATCATGATGTTTCTTTGCATATTACTAATTACTGTTGATTTTCTTTTCAGAAATTTATATCTTAATTCATGTGTTAGCTAAATTTTTATTGTCAAAAAACCTGTACAAAATGGCTAAGAAGACTTGAGTTAAATCTAGTGTTTCTGAATACTTTACTGTAACCAAAGATGAAAAACATTTGGGTGTTAAGATGACAAGTGTAATAATGAAAAACTCTGTGGAAAAAATAAACACTTTTATTGATTTCAATTAGGATGCCTGATGATTCACTTAGTAGTGATGAAATTATAAGTTAATATACTTAAAGTATTATTAAAATTAAATTATTATTTAGAAAAAATCAGAGTTGAAGTCAGACCTATAATTGTATGAATCAGAGTTGAAGGTTTGATCTACTGACTTCACAACCCTGTTATCAATAAATTATAAAATTAAATTTAAAATTTTAATTTATTTAATTCCTTATAAAATGTAATTAAATAAAAAATATTTTATTCTATTCTATAAGAAAAACATATTTATGAATACTTATCTAGCTTGAGTTTCTTATTAAAATTAATTATATAAGAAATAATATAATTAATTTTAAAGTTTGTCTACCTGTATGTCTTCTTTTGAAAAATGATAACTATATTTCCATACATGGTTAATTTTAAAAATAACTTACATAACAGATAAAATTTCTTCATAAATAAATATATTATTTGACAATTTTCCATTAATTGAATTCTCTTAATAAAAATTTTCTTACCTGGAAATTGTTTGAAGTTGTTAATTCCTTCAATTTCAAGAACATATCAAAGAACTTGAGAATTAGCTAATGAGGATAAGTAATAGGAACAGAAAGGTAAGATGCAAGATAAAAAAAAACTTTGAGTGATGCTGCCTGCTGAACAGAGCCCAAATTGTGCATATTGAGCTGCATTTTTAAGCAATATATATTTTTATATACAATGCATATTTATATAAAAATTTACAGACATTAGAAAAGCTCACATTAATCTGTTTCATTATTTTAATAATACTAATGATCAAAATTATACTTTAATATTTCAAAAGTTTGATGTTTCCAATAAATTAAATTATTAAAACGTTTTAACTGTAAGATATTTATAATGAATTAAATCAAATTATGAAAGTTGACACTTACAATTTGATTTAGTTCTTTATTTTAGTAAAATAAACAAATGAAGAAATTTTGCATAAAATTATGATAATTATCCTCTTAATCAAAATAATTTGTTTTGTACTGTAAATAAATTATTTTAGTTTAAAAATGAAAATACTTTATAATTATGCATTGTAAAATAAAAATTTATTTCATTATTTTAAAAATATATATTGATCATAATATGTGCACAATATTTTAAGAAAATAAACATAAATTGGAAAACACCAAAATAAAATCCTCATAAACTCATGTTAGAGTATGAATAGCAAGGGGAAAGAAATATTAGTATCTGGATATTAAATATCAAACAGCAGTGCATTAATAGATCTTTTCTCACCACAAATGCAGAAGAAGTAATGAGTGACTTCAGTCTCAGGAACATATTGAAGAATCGAAGAATATTCTGTGAATTTTTGATGGAAATGTATGATCATTTACTAATCTTTATTTTATAAACAAATTTATTTCACTTAAAAAATGAAAAAAATACGTAAAAAGTTTAAAATATTTCTCTGGTATAAAAAGTAAAAAATTATATTGAAAAATATTTTAAAAATTATATGAAAACAAATAAAAATACTGAAAAATCATTCAAAAAATACACAAAATAAATTTTTTTCATTAAATCAATTTTAATTTTTTGTGCATTTATAGCATTTTTTATGAATAAATTGTAAAATTACATCAATATAAAAAATATAATTAATTCTAAAAATATATTTTGAAATCTTCAAATATTAGAATGTAAAAAATGCTGTAATTTCTAAAAATTTATTAATGTATATAAAAAATATCATAAGTGATGCAAAATATAAATTCAAATTAATGTAATATCACAATTTAAAATATATTTATTATAAATACAATAATACAATTTAATGTAACTTTCTGGTCTGTTTTAAAATATAATGCCATTTATAAACTTTACTGAGGTTCATGGCTTCTTAATAATATTTAAATACATTTGAATTTTTCAAAAAAAAAAAAAAATGAAATTATAAAAAACATTTTATGTGAAAATGTTTTTTATATAATGNTTTTAAAAAAAAAAAAAAAAATGAAATTATAAAAAACATTTTATGTGAAAATGTTTTATATATAATGTTAATATGGTAATATTTTTCATTTTCAAATGTAGTTTTTTAAATTTTTTAAAAGATAGATATCATATATATTTGTAAGTTACATTATATTAAAGAGTCTATTTTGAATATTATGCAACATATATGTAAAGGTATTTTTAATATGATGCAAAATATGTTATCTATACTAAATTAATAAATTATTTTAAGCATTTTTATTAAAAAAATATATTATTAATCAAAATCATATAATAAATGTTTTAAGCCTCAAACTGAAAACTACACTGGGATAAAAACTTACACCTTCATTTTAACATTGTATATTTGTATTTTCACTGACAGAGTAAAAAATTTACACAGTTCATCCTGGATATAACAATCCCTGTTGTACTAAGCTTTGGATATACTGGACTAGGCCAAATAAAATAAAATAAAAATATTTATAAATTTACAAAACCTCTTATTGTAAGCATAAGAAAAAATGTCAAGTTTTTAGCCAATTTTCATTTCCTATAAAAAATAAATAAATATTGTAATTCATAAAATCATTTTAAATATCGTATTTTATATGATCTCAGTATGATTTAAAGAGAGAACTATTTGACCAATTTGTTTGTGTTTACTGGTTTTATTCTAATAATAACCACACTCAAATAGTAGCCATGGCTATTCATGAATTTCTGAAAACTTAGGGCAATAATGTAAAAATAGTAAACACCATAAACAACAATAGATAGATACTGTACCATATTTACTTATTTAACTAAAAAAATTTTGCTTTATACAGACACTACAGTGACTTTTTTCAAAACACTTGGAAGATTATTCATTCACTTTATTCATCACTTTATATTCTATTAAAAAAATTTAATAGAAAATGAAATATGTAAAATGTACAATATAGTATATGTATTTTTTGATTTTCTTACTGGTATATTGAAAGTAAGTCATTATAAAAAAAAAAGTATCAGTTGCTATTTCAAGTATAATTTGTTTTAAAAATTAAATATTCATTATGAAAGTTTGAATACTTTATTAATAATGAACATCAAATTGATACATGCAAAGAAAATAATAATTGCACTTGAACAGTAATTACAGAGAAAATATCAGTTTAAAATACAGCAGCCATGGCTATTATTTGGTCTTTCACAGCTGTGAAGACCAATATCTGGCAAACGTCGAGATTCTCCGGTGAATGTCAGCATTCACACAGTTGTTTCATATATGTACAAAATATTTGCTAAATATCATTATTTCTCACTTATACCGGCAAATGTCGACATTCAGCATGCACTGATGGTGAATGTTTTGAATAAAAATATTTTTATTACGTTAAGACAGCATGCAACTTTTCAATATGTCAAAATAGGAGAAAGCTGTAGCACATGAAAGTAACAGCACATGTAAATAAACTGTTGAACCTAAAACGAACAGTATATTCTTAATCAGAAAAGAAAAATAATACACAATAGTAAACTTACACATATATTATGTGATTAGTGCTATACAAAATTATTTATTGCAACAACTTAAACTGTTATGGCACTTTAAATTGCACAAGAGTCCCTTATTTTTACAACTGCATTTATTTGTGGAACACTTCTTTTTGTAATGACAGCATGTATAGCCTTGCCCTCCACTTTTCGAATTACTGTATCTGCAGCTGCTTCTCTCAGCAATATTTTTAAGAAGAAATCTCATCTATGGAAAGTAACTTTTCTTTACAAATTACAAACTGATTGTGGGTATAAAGCTGTTTGATGGTACCATTTTTGTTTGCTAATTTATAAAAGTCAGAGTCTTCTATTCCAACAACAACCACCAACACATTTTGGGCATCTGTATGGCAACAGTCGACATTAGGGACTTGTATTCATATAGTATAACCAATTTGAGCAGAAGGAATTTTTCTTTTTGAGGTTTGTAACAATTTCATTGCTTGCAGTAGAAGATTCTCTTTCGCCGCCACTCTTTTTATAGAAATAAATTTGTGTTGTTAGTCAGGGCTTGACAAGAAGACATGGTGGGTTGCAGCTCATCTTCAATATTTTCCTTTGGAATATGGTATTTGTTATGGCCATTGCTCAAATTTCCTTCAAAAGTATTAACAATTTCTTCAAGCTGTTCTTCAGTTTCAATATTTGCTATTTGTTCGCCAGGCAAAGATGACGATGCTCTGCCTCTTTTTGGTTTAACGCCAAACATGGCTTCATAAGGAATTTGGCATATTCCTTCGTGATATGCAGTGCCCTTGACAAATTGTACAAAGTGCAAACCATCTGATCATTTATTTGTATCATTATCATTCATCCATGCAGTTAACATATTCTGTATATCCTGAATGGCCCTTTCAAGTAAGCCTTGTGACTATGATGAGGCTTTCCATGAACTATCTTAACATCTTTCCACATAGTGCATAGTTCGAATATGACTTTATTACAGAATTCCCTACCATTATCTGAATGCAATATAGCTGGGGCACCAAATGTTAAAAATATTTGAAGAAGTTGATATGCTACTTCTTCAGCTGTCTTGGTTTTCAAAGGTAGTAGATGGACAAATTTCGTTAAATGATCTTGATACACCATTATGAACTTATATTCGCCATCCCTGTGTGACTACAGGTCTAACAGATCGACTTGACATCTTGAGTTTAACTCCAAACTGACCATTGGTTTCACAACAATACTTTTTTAGGTGCACTATGTTTCATTTGGCATTGTTTACATAAATTTAAATACATAAGCAAGAAATGAGAAAATTATCATACAACAATTTAAATATAACATTACAACTTCGTATGTGATATTTTTGTATTTAAGTTGCAATTCTTTAAGCATAAGTGTTCTTCCTCCATGGCCTGTTCTGCTGCGAGTTTCAGATAGTATACTGAACAATTTATCATTGGTAACATAATACTGTATATTCATTTCTCCTGGTTTTTATGGTACAATTAATTTCTCTTCATCATTAATTTTTTAAAACGTCAAAACGTTTTAATCCTCTATAATCCAAAGCTGCACTTAGTTTTAGCAGAAATCACTTCAGAAAGTATTTTAGATTATGTTCCTGGAGAAAAATAAAAACAATTGTCTTCTCATTTACTTGCGATTAATGCGCATACCTTTAAAAAAAGTTCTTGGTTCACTACAGTATCTATTCAATATAAATTAGGGTATTGGATAAAAAAAATAAAATTTAAGAAAACGTTGCACGCACCAGCAAACCCTGCATAAGACTGATAAACAGCAGTGTTCCAGAGTATAACAAATAGATACCACGTGATTTCAATCGTGGCAGAACAAAGGATTTGGCGACAAACTGTTGCCTTTCTGTTGACATCGGCTTCTCAGGTGTCGCTTCAACCTCCACCAAAGCTTATCTGTGCTTGTTGACATACACTGGCGAATGTTCGAATGTATAATAATATAACTAAATATTCGGTCTTTCACTGACGTATTTTGCATGTGTTGACATTCACCATAGAATATCGACATTCTCTAATTTCAATCTTTCACAGTAACATATATACAAAATATTATTATAATTAAGACTGCTTTAATTTAAGCATTTTTTGTTGTTACTTTGCTGTTGTTAATATTGCTAATATATGTTTGCTGTTGTTGCTTGTTGTTAATATTAAAACCACATATATATTAGCGTATATATTATATATATGCTTAGTGTAACAGACATTTGTCACTAACAAATTGCACCATTCTCATATAGTTAGTTATATCAAAGATGAACTGTAATTGTTTTTCTATGTATTTGAAATGTTTGACTTTTGTATTATATGCTTGTTTATGTTTTACATAATAGTTTTGCAATTAATAAAATTTTAAAATTATCATCTTCATTTTTATAATTCAAATAAAGTAATCCTTATTTTTAGGATTTTAATAAAAATCTACAAGCTTAATTTAAATATAATTTTTCCTTACATATCTAAATTTTGAAGCATATCCAATGGTTTGATACTTCAGTAATAAAAACATCCATATTAAATAACATATAAAAAGTTTATTTAAACGTGCATTAACAATTGCTATAAAATAAATCTTTGAGTGGTTATATCTGACTTAAAAAAATATTTGAGAGAGAAAGAGGAAAAAATAAAAAGCAGTTTCATGTTTGAGGTATCAAAAATATTTTAAAATATTTAACAGAAAACTAGTAATTTTTTTAAATGAAATAATTTTTAGGTTTAGATTATTTTTAATAAATGATAAAAGCAAGAAGTTTAATAATTGTTTCTACAGGAGGGCACTTTTAACATAGATGTTTGTGTTTGTCAGATTTTAATGGAAAAATTGTTGTTTGGGTGCTTTAAAACCACTGTGACACTTAAAAAAAACACTAAAAATTTTTAAAAATGATTTTATTAGAATGTTAAAAAATATTTTTTTTTTGATATATGAGATTTTATATTTCAATAAATTGATGTTTCTGATTATAAAGATTTTTGAAAAACTGGGAAAAAAAATGTAAAAAAAAATTAACCAGAGAAGCTAAAAATTTTCTGTATATTAAATGAGAAAATTTAATAAAAATTGAACAAATTTTTTAATCAATTCATAATAATATACCACTTTTAGAACTATCCTGCCATAGGAGGAAATGCCCTTATGCCCAGCAATAATAAAAGCTCAGAAAGTGTAAGGTTATCAGAAAATGTAATATAATCATTTAAATCTGCTAAAAATAAACAGATAAATAATAAAATAAAAAATAATGTCAGCAAGGCAGTCATCACACTATTAATAAAATTAAATTTTAATAATCAAATTTTAAAAAAAGTTTTAATTAAAAATTAGATCTCTTGAAATATGATTAAAATATTCATCTTTAAAACAATGCAGTTTTAAAAATTTAAACAAATAATCTTATTTTCTAATATTAATGTTATACAGAATACTGTTTAATGTTAT